CGTCATCGAATCATGGAGCGATGGCAAAATTAGGAAAGAGCTAATTGCCCTAGGATTCCACCCAACAACCATAGTGAGGTGGAAGAAAAATGGCCAGCCAATAGCAGTAGTCCTAGTGCTACTGCCAAAAACAAAAAAGGCCATCTTCGATGTCAGATCGCTGGGAAACCTAAGAGTCAAAGTGGAATCCCAGCATGCCAAGAGCCAGCTGACATGATCAATCCAAGTGTACAGCCGCCGCAAAATGTGTCAAGTGTGCGGCAGCACATGAATCCCGGGAATGTCCAGTTCCCCGGGAAAGGGCTGCGAAGTGCGCAAACTGCGGAGGCTCACACCCAGCCTCCTTCTCCGGATGCCCTGCGAAACCTGTACAGAAGCCGCAGACAAAAAAAAATCCCACCAACTCGCAGGGGAGTCCCAACTGTCACCACATCACAGCCATCAGTCAGCCAAAAAAGCAGAAGCTACAGCAGAGCCGTCCAAAATAACCTGCGGCCCCAGCAAGCCTTCCAACGTCAACAAGGAGGCAAAACGGCCATGAACAGCTGGCCCAAACCATCCAGGCCATGCAAAATCAAATGCAGACATTCATGGCCGTCATACAAGCACAAATGATTGCACTTATGAGCAGTCATGTCTAGACTACTCAGGCCCAAGTCTCTGTGTGTCATGTCTTGGAGCGCCAACAGAGTGAAGAATAAGAAAATAGAGCTCCAAGACTTCCTGGACAAATACAGCGTCGATGTGTGCCTAATCCAGGAAACCATGCTAATACCTGGAGATAGGTTCACACTTCGCAACTATGAGACACACAGAGCAAATAAGCCAACTAGTGGCGGAGGCACACTAGTCGCAGTGAAAAGGTCCATCCAGCACCATGAGATCGTCAAAACTTTCAAAACTGGCAGACCATTAGAGCCAAAAGAGTGACAAATGAGATCATCCAGGACATTATCCAGGGGACGAAGAGGAGAAAAGCCCCTGGGCATGATGAAATCTCTAATGAGGTCCTCAAAAAGCTACCGAAAACAGCAATTGAGGACCTAACCACAGTGGCAAATGCAATCT